TGAGATTTTGCCGTATCCTTCTCCTGCAACGCCCACCAAGCCATGCCCACCAAGCCACACCACACCCATCGAGCAAAAGCATGCCCACAAAGCCATACCCACAGAACCAGAAGTAAAAACATTTTCATTTCACCATTGAAAAGGAGATAGATTTTCCAAAACTGACATTATTAAAAGAAACATGCCTAGTTATGTAAGGACACATTGATCAACTTTGTGTGTTATTTATGCCTCTAAACATGAAAAGTTGTCCTGTTTGGCTTCTAGCATGCTTTTGGGAAGGATTGTAACTTTAATTCATATCTCTTGATTTATCTGGAACAAAGCATATATCAATGGGAGTCACTGAGAGTGATTTGGGTGGCCATATAATTTTTCTTAAATAAATGCTGTATATTAATACAAAGAAAGAGTTGTTTGCCTACTGTTGGCGTTGGCTTTACAGCTAAAAAAATATAATAAGTTTGAATCTATATTTGGACATCAAATTGAAGCATGAAGATTGATCTTTTAAAAAGTTGAAGTTGGATGATTTGAATAATTGATGCAATCTACAAGGAAGGGGACTTTTTCTGTGATTAGACTGTGTAGAAAACTAATGAAATATTGGAGGCAGAGTTAATTAAAGGAAGGGATGGGGAAACTGCATGTTTTGTGTTTACTAGAGTTTTGCTGCTTATGAATATAACCACTTCCTCTAGAACTGACTTGCCACCTGCATAAAATTAAGACCAGCAGAGGAAACTGGAATTCTCTAATGCTTTGAGAGGAAAGGATTTCTTCTCTTAACCCTCTTCTTCTTTTACTAATTATCATATTTATTAGCATGATCCTTACATTAGAGGAATTCTTCTTGGATTAAAACTGCTGGCACAGCTTCCTTGTGTATAATTCTAAAAGCTACCAGTGATAATCAATTTAGTTGGGATTGAAAGGAGTTCTTTGCGGAAATATGCCCCCTTTCCCTGCCAGAATATAAATGAATATAAAACCATCCCACAATGTTTTTTGTTGTGGTTTTGAGTCACTCAGTGATGCTAGCTTTCCTACAAAACACTTTCAGGATGATTAGGAGAATAACTGGGGACAAGTTTAATATCTCTTGTACCTCTCATGCTTTAGATCCTAAATGTAAGGAAGATAGCATCCTGTAGGTATTCCAAGAGGCAGATCTAGTGTTAGAATCAACAAGAGGGGGAAAAAGCAAAGGTTTGGAAGGATATGTAAAGAAGGAAATGGTATAACAGATTAACAGAGTTGGAAGGTCATCTAGTCCAACCCCCTGATCAAGCAAGAGACCCTACACCATTTCTGAAAAATGGCAGTTCAATCTCTCCTTGAAAGTCTCAAGTGATGAAGCTCCCACAACTTCCAAAGGCTACTTCTGTTCCATTGGTTGATTGTTCTCACTGTCAGAAAGTTCCTTCTTATTTCTAGGTTGAATCTCTCCTTGGTCAGTTTCCACCCATTATTCCTTGTCTGGCCTTCAAGTGCTTGATCCCTTCCTCCCTGTGGCAGCTCCATTGCTATCATGTCTCCCCTGGCTCTACTCTTCACTAGACTAGCCATGCCCAGTTCCTGTAACCGTTCTTCATATGTTTTAGCCTCCAGTCCTCTAATCATCCTGGTTGCTCTTCTCTGCCCTTTTTCTAGAGTCTCAACATCTTTTTTTAATAGTGTAGGGATCAAAACTGGATGCCTCTTTGTCTCTGATAGTTCAGAGAACTTCACATAACCAATATTACAGTAGCAATAGAACAGGATATTTGTAGCTCAGGGTTGAAACTGGGGCTCTCTGAGTTTGTGGTTTTTTTTGTGCTTATGACTTGTCACTCACTTTTCTTCCTTGTAGTAGCAGAGGAAGAAATTGATTGAGATCAACTATCTTTGACTTATTATAGGAAATAGTAATCATTTTGCCATCCATGATGGTAAATAGAGCTGTTGGGCTAGAGTTCCTGCAGTGATGGAAGCTTGAAGCTCAGTTTCTTGGCTTTCATAATTCTCTACCCATTTGATAAAGTCATAGGTTGTTTTGTCTTTTGTTTAGGGTATCTTCCCATCAACCTACATTCATCTCAAGGAGGCAACGGTGCAAGATGGTGGGTGAGTAGCCAAGATCATTTAAAAAAAATGTGCAACAAATTCTAGAATTCTATTTTTTTAAAAAATTACACAGGTTCCATTCTGTGAATCGAGTTCTGCAAACAGTTGTCTGCATTATTTCATACAGTATTCACAAGTTTTATTTATACAGAATAGTTGAGAACTGATATGAAAAAGTGTCCAGGAGATGGACAGGCGAGACTGAGGAATGCTTCCTTTTGGTAATCCCAGACCATATCCAGAATAAGCCAAGTTAAACTTTGGGAGCTTTTTTTAAAGCAATAACAGAAGAATAGCAATAGCACTTAGACTTATATACTGCTTTAGAAGTGTTTTACAGCCCTCTCTAAGCAGTTTACAGAGTCAGTATATTTGCCCCCAACAATCTGGGTCCTCATTTTACCCACCTCAGAAGGATGGAAGTCTGAGTCAACTTTGAACCTGATGGGATTCGATCTGCCAANAGCACAAATCAACAGCCAACATCTGAATTATTAGGGATGTAGCCCAAAGTTTATTAACAGTCAAGAAAGAGAAAAGATCTGTGTACGACCTTTTAAGTAATTGAATTCAAACATGTGTAAATTGCAGCTTAAATTGCAGTGTGAATTGAATTTTGACTAATTTAAATAGCTTGCCCGCAAGAAATTTTAATTGAGGGTTGTTGAAATTAGTTCCATGCTTAAAAAGTGCATCTTTGTAGAATCATTTTACTAAATTCTGAAAATAATTTATGATTGTGAAATCATTTTTGTGTATGTTTTCTTCTTCCTTGACAGACTGGTACAGAGGCTACAGTCTTCGAAATAAATCCAAAAAGGTACAACTTCTCCAAATATTTTCCCCCTTGTGTCTATACATTAATTCCTCTGAATCTTTGTTCTTAAAATTTATTTGGCATTCCTGATGCAACTTCATCTTCCATCAGTCTTCTGTCACATCTCCTTTCTCTCAAGCTTTTCCTAAATTGTGGTAGTGTTTTAAAAAGAATATTTTGGGGCTTTATGCATTCTACATTTCTGTGATCTTGCTGCCTATCTAACAGCTTTTCAATCAGTATCAAAAACCTCTCAGCACTTAGCCATGCAATAATTCAATATTATGAGGGGGAGAGTTCATTCTCCAAGCTTGTGGGTGAGTTTCTGAACGTTTTGTTACCAGGCTAGGTAACATCTTCAGGGGAGTTTAGGGGATGTCAGTGTTGATGTTCCTCTGTTTATAAGGACTTCAGGTGTGGGTGTGTCAAGGGGGGGGGGTCTTGTGTTGGGTCAGCCGTGAGTCATCAGTGTGTCTTGTGATGGTTCTTGTGATGGAACGAAATGTTCAGAAACCAAACCACAAGCGCTAAGAACAAATCCTCACCCTGTACCCGAGCTACAGATATTTGCCACTATTGCAATTCGATATTAATTAAGCAGAAGGGAAATAAAATAGATCATTGTATTTCTGGCCTTTATGATTTAAAAAGCTGGCTCGCTGAGGCCCTGAGGTCACTATTTGGTAAAAGAAGCAAGAAAAGAATCAAGAAGGCATACCAATAGTTAATTCATGAGACGGGAACATGTCTGGTTTCTCAGATGCCTTGAAGAGTGCTAGGAGTCAGCAGATTATGAACAAATGAGGATATAATGAAATTATCCTGCAAGTTGAATAGAATAGAATAGAATAGAATAGAATAGAATAGAATAGAATAGAATAGAANCTGAAAGCCCTATGAAGCGGTATATAAGTCTACTGCTATTGCTATTGCTATTTAGCTATGCAAAATTATTTCACGTTTTCCTTGAATCTGGGCAGTGTTACTTTCCCTTATATGAAGTGTTCTGTTAGCTTTCAGTGATATGCAGATAAAAGAAGACTTTTAAAAACATCTGCTGGAAATAGATATAATTGGCTCCAGGATTTGGGTTCTTAGTTTAATTGAAAAGTTATTGTCATTAAGGAGGCAAATGTTATCTGTCCGGATTTTTTAGATCTCTCTCTTTGCCCTTGTCCCAAAGGTGCTTTTTTCAAAAGGCAACAGGACTTTCTTGTTTTTTTCCTTGAAGACGTTTCGCTTCTCATCCAAGAAGCTTCTCCAGTTCTGACTGAATGGTGGAGAATGGAAGGATTTATATTTCTTGCAGTCATCTGGTCATTAGCGCTCTCTCTCAGAGTCATTGAGGCCACTTGGAGGTTTATCTGTGCCCTCAAAGTCACTTGAATAGTGCAAATGGGTGTGGAGCCTTCTTGGAATTGCTGGAAGGACTGCATTGTAAACAGGAGAGAGATAGTGATATATCCTCCCCCTTTGTTGAGAGAGGGCTATACAATTTTATCATAGATGGCCTCTTTGACCCCTCTTTTAAACCAGCACTCCTCTCTGTCCAGAATGTGGACTTTGCTGTCTTCAAATGCAGATGGACTGCTGAATTTTGTCCTGATGAGTTTGCTCTCCTGTGTTGTTCTTCTATGTCTCCTCTGCTCTTGATTACCTCCTTGTTTTTCTGGATTATTTGCAAGGATTTTGGGACTGGACCTGGTGGTGCGTGATGATAATGGGAACATACTGGATCCAGATGTTACCAGCATGATTTCCCTCTTTAAAGCACATGAGACAGCATCCAAAAGAATTGAGGACAGGATCCAAGAAGAAAAGGTACTTTTTTTTTAAGCATATTGTTTCCTGATCAGGAAGTTGGCCAGAAATAACTCTATGCAAGAATAAAAACTCAAAAGAGATGCACAGTGGTATAACATGATGTAAGTGTGTGGTGAGGCTATGCTTTGAACAAACAGAACTTGTATTTCCGTCTCAACATTTCAATATCAGTACAATCAATAATTGCTGTGCTTTTTTTAGGGATAGTGAGCAGCCTTTCTGCTTGCCTAGGATTAACCTGGAAATTTTACAAGTACCGTATTTTTCGGAGAATAAGATGCACCCCCCCCCTAAAAGGGGGTGAAAATTTGGGTGCGTCTTATACACCGAATGTAGCCCCACCCACCAGTCCCCATCCTTTGACCTCCTAACAATTTGCGTCCTTGCAGCAAGCAGCCAGTTTCAGCACAGCCTGATTAGCACAAGCAGCTGAGTGTGTCGGTTGGGTCAGCCTCCTGACCATCAGCTGTTTCAGGCTGCAGGGATTGCCATTGCCTATTGCTGCCTCTGCACACTCCATTTTTGGCCTCCAAGTGCCTCATTTTCCTCCCATTCCGATCCCCACCGCCCATTCTGGGTGGAAAATGCGGCCTGCGGAGGCTGAAAACATGGTGTGTGGAGAGTGAAAATGGGATGCGGAGGCCAAAAATGGGGCGGGCAGAGGTGGCAATAGGCTATGGCAATCCCTGAAGCCTGAAACAGCTGATCGGCAAGAGGCCAATCCAACCAACAATCAGCTGCTTGTGCTAATCGGGCTGTGCTGAAATTGCAACGGACTGTTTGCTGTTTGCTGCAAGAAGGCAAATTGCTGGGAGGCAGAGTCAGAATTTTTTTCTTGTGCTAATCAGGCTGTGCTGAAATTGAAACTGAAACAGGCTGTTTGCTGTTTGTTTCAAGGAGGCAAATTACTGGCAGGCAGAGGTAGATTTTTTTCTTCTTGTTTTCATCCCCAAAAGCTACGTGCATTTTATAATCCGAAAAATACGGTACTTTCTTTTTATGAGGAGAAGAACTGGAATCCCTTTCTGGGCCTAAATGAACATTTCAACAATGGCAGCACTTTGAAGGAGTCCCTTAGGTAAAAAAAAACCCGAAATAAATCCAGTACTTTATTTGGAGTGGAGTTTAAGGACTGAACTCTTGTGTAGTGGGGAAATTACATGCTGAACGTGCATTCACCAATGGTAGAGAAAGGATTAACTTGCTCAGATTTTCCCTGTTGTATAACCATCTTCCTGAGTCCTGTTGAGCCCTGACTGCTGGTTTAATTCAGCCTTTTTACATGTACCTTAGACTGGATTTGAAGCCCAGCAGATTTAATTCATCAAACAGCAAAAGGGAATTCCTGATATTTGCTTCATGTTGCGAGCATAAATAAGATAGAGCTGGGTTTAATGCAGGTTAATAAAATAATGCTGCTGCTTAGCATTGCTAATCCATGGAAGAAAGTTTAATTAAACTCCCCTGTGATGAGATGAAAACTTCATCTTTCTGGAAGTTTTGTTTGATTAATCTCTTGATTTAAATNCTCCCCAATAAAACTAAGACTTGAATACCACTTCATGGTGCTTTTCAGCCCTCTCTAAGCAGTTTACAGAGTCAGCATATTTGCCCCCAACAATCTGGGTCCTCCTTTTACCCACCTCAGAAGGATGGAAGGCTGAGTCAACCTTGAGCCTGGTGAGATTCGATCTGCCAAATTGCAGGCAGCCGGCAGTCAGTAGAAGCAGCCTGCAGTACTGCATTCTTACCACTGCGCCACTGAGGCTTAAAATATTAATAAATAAGACATGCAAGCACAACATGTATATATGTAAATCTAGTAAGTCCTAAAAACAGTTTGTTGGGCAGACCTTAAATTACCAACAATAATTTCAACCACTTTTCCATAGACAAAATGAGACAGTAATTCCTAGTGAAGTTCCATTGGTCCAAGAACTCACCTCTACTTTGCGAGAATGGGTAGTGATCTGGCATAGGCTGTATGTGGTAAGTACTAATTCTCTTTACTGGGCCACCATAAGTTCTTTCCCAAAGCAAACAATGGGTTCAGGTGGATAAGTTTTATGGGCTATTATAACCATAGGAACAATTTTTAGAAACCAGAAAGAGGTGGTTACACTTTGCTTTATATCCTGCCTTTCCTTCAGAAACTCAAGCTGGCATGCATAGATCTATATCCATGTTTTTCTTTTAACAACCTTGCAAGGTAAACAATGCTGGCTGAAAGTTACCAAGTATACTTCCTTTGTGGAGTGTGAACTTGTGAAGATAAATTGGAAAGGCAGGAAGATATAACCAAATACATCCTATTCAGTGATGTAATATATACTATAGGTGATTCATTTGGATTCTGTTCTGACCTAGGCCTCCCAAGAGCACAAAGCAGACTCCTTGTCCTGATAAAGCCTCTTTTATTTAGGTTAAAGGGAATTCCTTTCCAGCAAAGTCCCGGCAAACAGTCTTTCATGAGATTTCACAACTATAGACCTTCATCCGGCTTGGAGAGTTGTCAGGCCGATATCTTCCAAACGCCACTCTGTAGCAAACAATACTTGGCAAGAAGTCAGGAACAGATCTTCACCCTAATGAATTGAACTAATTGTCTCCTGCAAACTCCCCTCCCCGTTTGCTCCTCTTTATTCCCTATGGGAGGGGCCATTCACTGTCCACCTGTGCCTTTATTCCCGAGTTAACCCTTATTCCTTAGCTGTTCCTTTCTCCTGGCAACTCTGTGCATGTGCACATTGGGAAGAAGCTCCAGCTGTTCTTCTGCCCCACTGATATCTGAATGCAGCTGATAACTGTCAAACCATCCTGGCCCCCTCCCTGCCTCCGACACAGAGCCCTCATCAAAGCCTTCCCCAGGCTCCAGAATTGGCCCATGTTCCTCCCCAACATCCCCACTGTCTGAGTCTGCCACCAGTTCCTCTGGCCACTGGCGAGCCACAACAGATTCAGTATAACCTTTTGGGAAATGAATAAGTGGAAGATTATGAGTTTCCTGTGGGGTCTTTTGAGCTTGGTTGTTTCTTGCAAACATTTCATTACCCAACTAGGTAACATCATTAGTGCTAGAAGGTGGATAATTATCTGCTTATAAAAAAAGTGGCTTGCCCTGTCAATGTTGGTGGGAGTGTTCTTGGTTCCTTGATTAGGCTGTTGTTTACTGTTTGTTTGTTTGAGTTGGTATTTCCTTTGGGGTATTTTTTACTGATTGATTTTCGGTCTGGTATTAATCCTGTGTTAATCTACTTAGCGGTGGCTCAGTGGCTAATACACTGAGCTTGTTTATCAGAAGGTGGTCAGTTCAGTGGTTTGAATCCCTAGCACGGCGTAACAGAGTGAGCTCCCGTTACTTGTCCCAGCTTCTGCCAACCTAACAGTTCGAAAGCATGTAAAAATGTAAGTAGAAAAATAGGGACCACCTTTGGTGGGCAGGTAACAGCATTCTGTGCGCCTTCAGTGTTTAGTCATGCCAGCCACATGACCACGGAGACATCTTTGGACAGTACTGGCTCTTTGGCTTTGAAACAGAGATGAGCACCGCCCCCTAGAGTCAGGAACAACTAGCACATGTGTGCAAGGGGAACTTTTACCTTTACCTAATCTACTTATCTAGGTGTTGATTTTTGGCTTCTGCAAGAAAACANATTTGAACTGTAAGCCACCCAGAGTCACTGGGTTGAATTGGGCGGCTATAGAATATGAATGAATGAATGAATGAATGAATGAATGAATGAATGAATGAATGAATGAATGAATGAATGAATTCATTCATTCATTCATTCATTCATTCATTCATTCATTCATTCATTCATTCATTCATGGCTAGATAGATGGATGGATGAATAAAAATGCATTGCCGACTGAAGGTATGAGTGTGTATTCAGATATTTTGATCTTCTTTTAGTTGATCACAACATTCATTTAATCACAGCCCTGATTCTGCATACATGTTGCCATGGTGTGGGAGCATGCCACACTTTTCAGTTTTAGGGAAACTAAAATAGTCTTACTTAGATCATGGCTGGAAAAACAGACAGCTTTATTGGATAATTTAGCTCTTTCTATATTCTCACATTTCCTTTAATCTCTTATTCCCAACCAGTCTCTTCAACAGAATGTAGACCGACGAGGACAGTCTATCTTTAATAATACCCACACTTACAGCCTGTACATCAATTTCAAGAATTTTGTCTGCAATATTGGTGAGGATGCAGAGCTGCTTATGAGCCTTTATGATCCAGACCAATCCAAATTTATTAGGTATGTTGCTAGTAAAAATCTTTTTTCTAAAACCTGTCTTAGGGAAAGTTGGTTGTATGTTGCAGTATGTTGGCTGTAATCACCAAGATTGATTATGACTTTAATGCTTAACAATTCAGGAAGCCCTTGAAAACCACAATTGAGCCCAAAATTCTTAAGGAAGTTTTTGCCCCATTTAATGAAGTTTCTTGCCACAGTTGTTAAGTCAATCACTGCAGTTGTTGACTTAGTAAGATGGCTGTTAATTGAATCTGGCTTCCCCATTAACTTTGCTTGTCGGAAGGTAGCAAAAGCTGATCACATGACCCTGGGATACGGCAAACGTCATAAATATGAGTCAGTTGCCAAGCATCTGAATTTTGATCGTGTTATCATGGGGAAGCTGCAACGGTCAGAAGTGAGAAAAATGGTCAGAAATCTTTTTCTTCAGTGCCATTGTGACTTTGAACAGTCACTAAATGAAGTATTGTAAGTCGAGGACTAGCTGTATCTCACGCAGGCCTGTTATGAAGATGAAAAGCTGATTTTTAGTTTGAAGAAAACAACTGTCCTTTCATTAAAAGAAAAACAAACCAGGAACTTGTGGCTTAACCATTATAATTGAATAATTATAATGGGAATGGGAAAATTTTGTTGTAAACAATATGCTAGTGCTTTAGATCTATCTCTTCTATCAGTTTCCCCTTTGCTGATCTTATTCCTAAGTGGGGGGGGGGGGAGTCTCAAACACTACAATTTCCATTTAAGGCAATTCTTTCGTGCCCTTATTTTCTCACTCTCTTTTTTTCTTTTGGAAACTGGCTCACGATATGTTGCAATTTAGGATCAGAAGGACTTCCTTGTTTTATTTCTATAAAAGCCAAAGGCACCTGAAAAATCTGTTTCCCTTTGGCATTCATCTTGGACATAAAATTGCCTTGGCATTGTTTTAATGCTGGGCGAAATGATTTGCATGTCCTGAACAGCAACAGCATGTCCAATTTTATGGTTCATCACACAGTCAGCCAGATGTTCGCACTGGATTTGGCAGTTTTATCCACCTACTAGCTGATAACCTAGCATTCCCCATGTATTTATTTATAGGGGGAAAATGTCCAGACCAAACATAATTTCTAATGTTGATTTTCCCCCTTCCCAGAGAGAGCCCCCTGGTGGAGTGCTTGTGAAGCCATTACCATGGCAACTCCACTGCACAGTAGAAGCCATTTTACGGCAGTACAGTACAGGCCATTTTAAGGCACAACAGGCTGCATCTTAACAGAACACACACCCCGAGGGGGGCTAGGGGTGTCTTACCCCCACAGTATGTTTTTCCAAATAGTAAGTCATCTGTCTATCAAGTTTGGTTGAAATTGCTCAAGGTGTTCCAGAGTTATGCTGGAAAATACACACACATAGAGAGACATTTTAATATATATAAGAAGATTGAGTCTTTACCAAGGACCTGGGACAGGCAGATACAGGTGTTTGATAGACCAATGGTAATTTTGTCACTTCTAATGGTGTTAAAGTGGTCCTCCAGTTGTTTTGGGATTGTGCTCAAAGCACCTACAGTATTACTATTTGCAATATTAAAAGTACCACCTTTGCTTTCTTTTGCCACAGTCGTTCTATTTCTATTTGCAGGTCTTTTATTATTATATTATTACTATTATTTTAGTGAAAACTACCTGGTTCGCTGGGGAAGCAATGGAATGCCGAAGGAAATTGAAAAGCTTAACAATCTTCAAGCTGTCTTTACGGTAAATTTTCTCTTTGCCTTTTGGGTTGTACTGACTGGCAGATAACTTCATTTTTATAACTGTGTTCCTTTGTTGTACCTTTGTTGTGATAGCGTCATTGGGCAAGGAGCCATGCTGTGAATGGGAAGGGTCAACATAATCTATTTCATTGTCTAAGAAGCACAATGGTTTGGAAAGATGTCTCGGATTTATCTCTATAACAAAGCCAACTAACTTTTTAAAAAGGTCATTTTGACATCCAACCTGTACCTGGCTGCTTTGATTCTCAGCCATACCTTGGATAGCAGATCTTTCCAACCAGTCAGCCACCCAATTGCTGATCTCTGATATTAATGTGTTCCTTACTGTGTATCTCAAGGTTTTCCAAAGTGGTTAATATTGAATCCCAAAAGTCAATTGGATTGTCCACTGCTGTTATTCAGAGTATTTTTATTTAAAGTAAGGTAAAGGTAAAGTTCCCCTTACACATATGTGCTAGTCATTCCCGACTCTAGGGGGCAGTGCTTATCTCCATTTCAAAGCCCAAGAGCCAGGGCTGTCCGAAGACGTCTCCGTGGTCATGTGGCTATGAATAAATGCTGAGGGNAGGTAACAGCATTCTGTGCGCCTTCAGTGTTTAGTCATGCCAGCCACATGACCACGGAGACATCTTTGGACAGTACTGGCTCTTTGGCTTTGAAACAGAGATGAGCACCGCCCCCTAGAGTCAGGAACAACTAGCACATGTGTGCAAGGGGAACTTTTACCTTTACCTAATCTACTTATCTAGGTGTTGATTTTTGGCTTCTGCAAGAAAACAGCCAAACTCAAGAGGGCACCAAGGTTCAACCTTGAGCTACAAATATTCTCTTCTAATGGCATGAGTTTCCTATTAGTATAGGATGCCTTTGTTTTGTTATTTGTTTAATTTTCTGTTTCTCATTTCTTGTCTGCTCTAGGAGAACAAAAGCTCCCTCTTTCGCACTGTACAACAGATGACCTACAGTCTGATTGAATGGCGATCCCAGATCCTATCAGGCACTCTTCCCAAGGATGAGTTGGCTGAACTCAAGAAGAAAGTCACGGCCAAAATCGATTATGGCAACAGGTAATACAGGCTGTCTTTCTCAGACTTCAGTCACATCCTCAAATTGAATAACTAGAGGTGCAAGTGTGAAAAGAAAATGTTCTTGGTGCGTCTAGATATGATGGATCAGCTTGTTGACATCAGAATCTCCTTGATCACATGAGCCCAGCTCTAAAATTTGAGTTTATGGACTTATGTTTAAAAAAGGTGGACTTTGGATTCAGGCATGATAAACAGGTAGTCTCGACTTACAACAATTCATTTAGTAACTGTTCAAAGTTGCAACGGCACTGAAAAAAGTGACTTATGACCATTTTTCACAGTTGCAACTTTTGGAGCGTGCCCTTGGTCACATGATCAAAATTCAGATATTGGACAGCTGGCTCATCTTTATGACCGTCGCCGTGTCCCAAGGTCATGGGATCCCCTTTTGTGATCTTCTGACAAGGAAAGTCAATAGGGAAGCCAGATTCACTTAACAACCGGGTTACTAACTTATCAACTGCAGCGATTCACTTAACAACTGTGGCAAGGAAGCTCGTAAACGGGGGCAAAGCTCACTTAACAAATGTCTCACCATAACAACGGAAATATGGGGCTCAAGTGTGATCGTAAATCGAGGACTACCTGTATAAAGCAGTCTACTTACTTGAGTATATTTTGTTGACTTTTTTCCATTTGGTTTTCTTAATTGTTTTGGCTGTTTGTTCATTTACTGTTATGCTCATATTGTCAGCTCCCATTATTCATCTCATAAAGGCTAAAAGTCCAGTCGTGGCTGCAAAGTATGCCCTCTGCCACCAACTAAGATCCTTCTCTGCTCTTGACAGCTGTGGATACCAGCAGTCTGCTGGATATCTGAAACTGTATGTTTTCAGTCAAGGTTCATGGTAGAGATTTTTCACCCCCTCCTTCCCCCTTTACACACAGCATATGTTTGCATGCAGGATCTTCCAGATACCTAAAGTCACAAATACTATTTTTTTTAAAAAAAAGTCTATTTCCATCAAGCTGTGAATCCCACTTCTGTGTGCGCGACACTTTATTTTCTATTTCCATTTCACTTTGGATCCCACTTTTCTTTGTTCTTTTGCCCTTTTCCAAAGACTTCTTTATAGTTGATACGCCAAGTCTGATTTCACACTAGATTATGGGACAAGTGGCACATTGAGTGAATAAGCACTGTGTTGTCCAGACGCCAGAGTTAGTGCTTGAGGAACAGGTGCTGGAGATGTTGATTCTAAAGAGCTCTAGAGGATGGAGATACCCCCAAATCCACCAGACACCTATTTTCCCTTGTGCACAACAAACATCCTCCAATTGCTTGGCACTTTTTAAATATGTTGGACTTCATAACTAGGAATAGGAGGGTGAACTTGCAGCCACAACTCAATTCCTCTAGTCTGCACATCTATCCTATCCTATCCTATCCTATCCTATCCTATCCATTTCATACATACATACATACATACATACATACATACATACATACATACATACATACATACATACATACAAGTAAAGGTAAAGGATCCCCTCGCACATATATGCTAGTTGTTCCTGACTCTAGGGGGCGGTGCTCATCTCCATTTCAAGAGATGAGTACTGAAGAGCCAATGCTGTCCAAAGACATCTCTGTGGTCACGTGGCCAGCATGACTAAAGGTCGAAGGTGCACGGAACAATACTGCAAGACTGTCAAACTTCCCTTGATTGATACTAGATTAAAAGCTGTGCAGGCAGAGATTCCTTCCCCCTAAAAGGTGGTTCCTATTTTTCTACTTGCATTTTTACATGTTTTCGAACTGCTAGGTTGGCAGAAGCTGGGACAAGTAACAGGAGCTCACTCTATTACACGGTGCTAGGGATTCGAACCGCTGAACTGCCGACCTTCTGATCGACAAGCTCAGTGTCTTAGCCAGTGAGCCACCGTCATTCATTCATTCATTCATTCATTCATTCATTCATTCATTCATTCATTCATTCATTCATGCATATATTTGTGTGAAAGAGAGACTTGGAAATTAAGCAGAATCAGGTTTGATTATAGTTGGATGGCGATTACCATGAAATGTCAAAGTTTTGGACTATGCTGGAAAGTTGCAGAACTTCCTAGAAATGTCAATAGCAAACTACTTCCATGTGGCTGCCAACAATACTGCAAGATTGTCAAACTTCCCTTGACTGATACTAGATTAAAAGCTGTGCAGGCAGGGATTCCAGGATATATGTACAGTAACTTTTTTGATAAGCTGGTCTGTTATAATAACTAGGAAAGCTTTTTCAGGGGTACACCTAGCAACTACAAAGTACAAAGTGTCAATTCTCTTTAAAGTAGAAGCAAACTACCAATTTTGCACCTCCTCCTCTACTGGGATGGTGCAGTGGGCTAAGTGTTTGGATGTGGCCATCTGGGTCTTGTTATAGCCATGCATCATTCGCCCACCTTGAGCGATCCAGCCCTCATATAGATTGGCTCTAGAAAGGTCCAACATTTGGATCCCAAGTAGGCAAGGATGCTTTGAATCCAACACTAGCAATATCCAGATTCTGTGCACCAGTCAGTTATTGGAGATATTAATGCCCATCCAAATCAGATACTCTGGAGGTTTTGTTTATATGGGGTCCTTGGTCCTTGGTGCTTTCAGAGCTTGGTAGTTTTCATTAACAAACCAGATAACATCATTCTCTTCCATTTAGTTTATGTCATGTTTTGGTTAGGTACGTGTTCACAGTTTTGTTTTGTTCGCTGCTTAGAGTGACTACAAGTGAGGCAGAATAAATGGATTAAAGAAATAAAATGTAAAAGAAACCCGTAGATCAGGAGTGTCCAACTTTGGCAGCTTTAAGATCTGTGGACTTCTTTGATTCCCAGAATTCCCCTGGAAGTTGATGTCCATAAGTGTTAAAGTTGCCTTGGATACTAAATGTATTTAGGGCCAGAATGTTGCTTCAGCAGCAGCATTTGCTGAGCATTTCAGTTCTTGTTTGAAGCTTCCTAAATGATTGTAGAATTGCATAGGGGAAAGTTTGGAAAACTCATGGATACTGCTACCCTTAAAGTGGGATCTCTGCATTGGGGAACTTCTTACTTCCTGTTCCAGATTTTGTTATTAAATTATTAAGGCATATGTACATTTTACAGAGAGAGAGAGGGAGGGAGGGAGAGAGAGACAGAGAGAGAGAAAGACAGAGAGAGACAGAGAGACATTGACATATTGAGTGGGGGCTCAAGGAACACGGTGGCTCAGTGGCTAAAACACTGAGCTTGTCGATCAGAAGTTCAGCGGTTCGAATCCATAGTGCCATATAATGGAGTGAGCTCCCGTTACTTGTCCCAGCTTCTGCCAATCTCGCAGTTCNGAACCCAGGGCCTTATTTTCCTTCTTTCCTGAGTTCTCCCCCCCCCCCCCCCCCCCGAAGCAGAAATGAAATACAGGTAGCCTTCGACTTTGTTTAATGACCATTTTTGAAGTTGCAACAACACTGGAAAAAGTGACCCCTGGCCACTTTTCATACTTTACGACCATTTTACCTTCTTCGGGCACGACCTCTGACTCACATTTATGACAGTTTGCAGTGTCCCGGGGTCACGTCGTCATCCCCTTTTGCGACCTTTTGACCAGCAAAGTCAACAGGGGGAACCAGGTTCACTTAACAACCACGTGACTACCGTATTTTCCGGAGTATAAGATGCACCGGAGTATAAGACGCACCAAGCTTTTGAAGAGGCAAATTAAAGAAAAAAAGTTTTTGCGCTCTGCAAACCTGCTAAAAACGGCCCGTTTTTCGCAAAAATGGGCCTGTTTTTTTTTTTTTCAAACAAAGGGCATGAATAGCCCTTAGGAGGCTTGTAGAGTGTTCCCGGGGGTGGGGGGCCAAAAACAAGCAAAAAATGGCCCGTTTTTCATGAAAACGGGTCTGGTTTTTGTCAA